TTTTCACATAGCTACGAGAAGAATTAAACATAAAGTATGTGCAGTTGCCGTACTGTATTAAAGCTTTCATCAGTATAAAACTGTATATTAAAAGCTAACATAAGCAGTAGCATTTACAAATAACAGCGTATCTAAAAGTATGAGACAACAACAAACATAGGCCTACCATTAAAAGCCGTGCTTGCACAGTTTCTGCGTGATCCTCTTCAATAATATCCTCTGCTTCTCAATCGGGCTCAAACTGATAAGCGATATTAACTACGCCATTGTTTACAATACAACCGGAGCACATGCAGCTGAGGAGAGGGGCGGGACGCTTAGACGCGCACTAGAGGCGGTTTAGCCAATTACAACACACTGGGCTAGCTAACCAATCAAAGCCCATCGCCTATTTCTGAGGGCGGGGCTTCATAAAAACAGGAAAAGATCAAGCCTAGAAAAAAAAACAGTGAACCACCCCTTTAAGAATCTTTAACATCCATGGAACTTTTCCATTCCACAAAAGGTTCTTCATAAAAGGTTCTTCAGATTATTAAAATGTCCTTCATAGTAAAAAAAAAAAAAACCTTTTCAGAGCATTTTGCTGACAGGTCCTTTGGGGAACCAAAAAATGTACTTCTATTGCAGCATGGCAAAATCCTCCTTTTGAAAACCTTATTTTTACATGTTGACTTGGTTAGTGCATTTATAGGGGCTTATTCTGCATTACTCTTCAGCAAGTTATTTGAGTGAGTTTGCTTCTTGCTTTTATTATATGCATTAATATAATGTTGTCTCTACCCTAGAGAAGGCAAAACCAAAAACTATAATCGATATTGCCAAATTACTGCAGCAAAAGGCCAAGGAGACCAAAGAGAAGAAACAATCAGTGATCACTGCTTCTGCATTGAAAGCTGCTACTAGTTCAACCAAACCGACTACACCAGATAAATTGAATGACCGGAGTGATGCCAAAGAAATTATTATTTCCAATGCAAAAATTCAAACTTCTGCCAGCACCCTTCCAGCAAAAGATGCTGTGGATAGTTATTCAGCACCTGACACTGCCATAGTCGATTCTTCTGTGAATTTTGCATATTCAAAAGATGTTGACCAAATGGCCACGGAAGGTCTGCATAATAAGACATACACTGAAATTATGAATGCAAAAGATGCAGCACCCCAAGCTGTTGAGTCAGCTGTAGAATCGCCCATAATTAATGCTCCACAAGAGGCTTCAACTCAAGGAGAGATGACAACAAATATCAGTCAAGTTTCTGAGCTGTCTTCAGCAAACCTCTCAGAAGTCATTCCATTTTATGAGGATGTTGCTTCTGCCTCTGAAAAAAATGCTGGAGAAACTAGTGATGGAAGAGTTTACATGCCTGATGTTATGGTGACTTCCAAAGTTATGGCAACTCCTGAAGTTTCATCTGCACATGAGAACAGTCAGGAGCCTTTTGATGTTTCAGAAGTGGTTGCAATGACCAGTGCATCAACTTTTATAAACATTGCACAGTACTCTTCACAGTCTCAGTTCACTCAGTCTCAAGATTTTCTAGCTCCCACTTGGTCTTCAAATGTCAAAGCAGACAAACCATCTTCTGGCCAAGAGATCATAGATCAGGCAGTTGGGTCTTTTCCAGAGGGCACAGCTGACTCCATACTAGATATTGCCAGTGCTGAAGCTGTGGCAGTTACTTCTGGAGAAGTTCCAACCCTTCGAGACGTTTGCCATGAAGAAGCCATTCAGGTCTTTGACCCCATGCCTGAAGTCTCTTCACCTCAATCAACTGAGGATCTTCCTGTTGTTGAGACCACATCTGCCTCTCTAAGTAAAGCCGTGAAGGTAGATCCTCTGTCAGAAATGGCTGGTGATGCTCAGCGATCCATCAGTCTGAAGGACCCAATTCTAGTGCAAACTGATGTTTTAGAGGAAGAGGATCAGACAGAGGCAGCTGAGGAGTTGACTGAGGGTACGTGTCACCCTTCCTGCATTCAATACATAAATCCATATTTTCCAAAAATAGGAATATTTTGTTGTTGTTAATGCACCCTCCCTATTTTTTTGTGGACAGTTATTTGTGGGAAATTACTCCAAGATATTGCAAATGTTTTATTATCATAAAGTTTATTATCATTCACAGGCTCTATAGCTTAGATGCAGTTTTCATAAATGTATAATTTTATGCACTTCATTGTTGAAATACATTTACTTGCATCATTGTTTTTAAGTTGTTATAGTGCAACACAGAGTCATTCTCTTTAAATCTTTCATTTTTGTTTTTGGTTGCTTCTTGTCATGTTTGCTGCATATCATGCATTTGTTATTATAATTTTTTTTAAATGTATTTATTTTCGCAGAAAATGCTAAGGCTCATTACATAGTTTAGAACTAGAATTCTTTTGCATTCTGTTTTTACTCAGTTGTCTAGTTCTAACTTCTGGGATTTTAGCTTTTTTTCCCCCTAAAATAAACAAAAGACCTGCCATGGTGCCACACAAACATAAGCAGGAGAGTTTAGTCTCTAATCTGACAGATGTCTGCATTTAAGAACTGACCTGCTGTAACAACGAAGTGAAAGTTTATATGTGTACAGCATCTGTAAACATTTTCCCATAACACAAATATTTGCTCACACTGATGCCTGTATTGAATCAGCATAGGTTTCTCTGTGGTAAAGTCACAGAGCTGCCAAGGCATTGTTTCATTTTAGCTATTCTGATATTTACCACAAGAGGGTGGACTGATGCCTGTCTCTTGACATCCTTTATTATGTTTTTTTTTTTTTTGCTTTTTTGCATTCTAAAATGCAAATACTTTTATTGTGATAAGTTAAAATGAATTGGTAGGTAAACATTTTTTTTTTTATTTAAGCATGCAATGCAGTATAATTATAATCTGAATTTTATCATCCAAGTACATAATGAAAGTATTAATTAAATATTGACATTTTAGAATTATTGCATATATATATATATATATATATGTAACAACTAACAGGAATTTCTTTCACATCTGCAGAACAACTGGATTCAATACAGAGACTCTTTCTCGACAAGCTAAGGGAATACTCTACAAAGAGCCAGTATATACATAAATCAAATAACATTAAAACATTCCATGCATTCTGTTATATACCAAAATTTTTCCATGTTTAACCTTGTTCGTGTTGTCCATAGAGCCTCTGGTGGCCCTGTAGATGCTGGACCAGAATATGAGAAAGCTTTAAGTGAAGAACTAACCAAACTCCAGAGACTCTATGGGAGTGGAGACTTAACCAAGTTCCCAGAATTTAAGTTCTCTGGTGGGTGTATTTTTGCTTTTACCCTGTTTGAGTTACCGCATTTTTGCTGCGCATTTAGAATGATTATTAAATGAACTCAGAAACTTTTTTTTGTCGTCGTCTTCCGTTTCAGAGCCTGTACTGGATGAAAGCAGCTCAAAATGAAAAGCACACCATGACATTGTCATAGAAGTATGTCATTTATGATATGTTTTAAGAGGCACTAATATTTGATTATAAATAGCTAAATTATTTGCGGTTACAGACCTACAATCGGTAAAAAAAAGAAAGGGAACGCAAAAAATAAAGTTGTTTGACCTTTAACATTTTCACACTGTGATTTATTTATTTTTTTAACGCTCCGAATTACTAATTAAAACTACCGAGCACCTTACAAAATTTATTTTATAACATACACGTTGCATTGTCCCCACAGAAGTCTCAAGGGGCAAGCACTTTTTCCTATACCGCAATGTCTCCACCCACCTCATAAATATTCATGAGCAAAGTTGTCTGCGTGCCGTTACGCTGTGACGACATGGAAGAACTGCGGGTCCCGATTGCTGCAGCCGCTTGTCATTGTGACGAAGATTGGCACTAAGGTAAGCTGTCACTCAAAAACTTCTTTTCCGACTCCCTATCAATCAAGCGATATGGGCCACGCGCTAAAAATGCACTCGGCACGTAAGATCGAGCTTCCGTGGGAGGCGCGCGGTCTGCACGGTTTTAGGCTGAAATCAGATGTTTGGACGGCGGTTTCGGGGGATTCTCGGGCTCGACACACAGTCGAGGCCCAGCTCTTTTTTTATGATCTTTTGTAGAAGTGCGAATGGCGGCGGCACTGGTGGGGAGGGGTAGCCCGATGTCCCTTAGATTGATTGATAGGCGATTATGGGCAGGCTTTTTATTATATTTAAAGAGACAGAGACGAAGTTTTTAATAAGTAAGCGAAAAGTCGAGGCGGCTTGTGTTTTTACATGATGACGCAGGTGACGTACTGTAATTGTATATTAATTGCGCCAGCGGTTCTCATGGGTAACTTATCTGGCGCTTCGTAGATGAGCATAAATAGACTCAGTACAAACATGGCGCCTACAGTAATAGAGAGGATGAGATACAGTCATCTGTGGCTGAAGAAGTAGACCATGACGGAGATTTAAAGCCACATTACGAGAAAATAATTCTTATGCAAATCGATTGTGTTTTTAGATGTAGATATTGACTGTTTTTCTAAGCCCATTCAAAGCGAATCACTCCTTGAAGTCGTGTTGCAGTGCAGATACGTTACATCAAGGCGATATTTAGAGATGTTACTATTTATATCGCGAATTTGTATTCGCCTGTTCGCAAAGACCACTGCAGATGTTTGTCCAGTTCAGCATACAAGTTCATTTTGAAGCAAATGAATGTCATACATCAAATCAAACAGGACTTTATGCATGGTTTTCTCACTTGTATGTAAAGCACGAAGTTTTGATTCACAGCGCCTGCAGAAAATACAATAAAAACTGAAATGCGTTTTTAAGTGATACGGGTATTATTTGGGTCATTCCTGGGATTCGGTAACATTTCAACTTGGAATATAATTTTTTTTTAAACTACATATGATTCATTTTCTAAATACCCCACATCATTAGGCACTTGTCAGATCTCCAAAAAATCATATTTTCCCACCTCAGGCATTACAGACCTTTTATTATTTGTGTTTTTTCCCCAGATTTAGACACATTTTTTTCTCAACCTCGTTATGGACGAAATGGGATTGGTTTAAAAAAGGATTTTACACAGAACTTGTTATAAAACAAACATCTACCTATTATCGTTTTAGTCCTTAACTTGTCAGATGGTAATCAGCTAGAAATAATTTCATTCTTAATTTTTTCAAAAATATTAATGTGACAAGGTGTGACGGGGTTGAAGACCGTAACACATCTGAAGGGATACATTGCCTTCAATTTAAATTTTTGGTTTTGTTTCTTTCTCATATTGTCCCCTTGTTTCAGGGTCAACATATCTGCATGGCCAACATTGTCTTTCTGCTGCAAATGTGGGTGCAATTTCTGATGTATGATGCTTGTCAAAGTTTAAGTGGACATATTACATCAAAAAATCGTGACTATTTTATATTTTTTTCATTAAAATTATTAATAAATGAAGTAAATAACTCAACCCTGTCACAAGTTTACATATATTTATGACGGGGTTGTGGTTTTTCACTCAAAATGGCCACTGTTCCTTATGTAGTGTAGGAGAGCAGACCATACATGGCAGCAATACAACAAGTACATTGTATATACTTATGGGTTAAAATAAAATGTTGAAAAATAATAATTTTCCATCTTAATTTTGTGTGACGGGGTTGAGTTGGTTAGCTTGACAGTACCCTCCCTGACTATAATATGGCTCAAAAATATGAATAAAAAGTATGATACTACTAACCATTTTCTGCACCACTATTAAAAAGACCCGAATGATGTAATTTCTGGTAAATTATGTCACATATGAGTGGAGTCTTAATTATTATGGGCATAGAATGGTTAGTGTGACAGGGTTGAGTTCAGACTGAGGGACATAGCTTTAAAGTCTGTTTTTTATAAAATATCTTGCATTTTTTTAGAAAAAATATTTTTCACACGAAAGGAACACAAATAAATGCTTACATTATTGCCAAAAATCACAGATATGCACATTTTGTTAATAATTTTTTAAGTACAAACTCAGTGAAGTGGCTCAGGGACATGACAAAATGCTTGGTTTACGATAGCTACAACAAGATATTATTTTATGCTAAAAATATTAAAATGCATTAACTATATTTATTCATTATAATAGGCATACCAAAGTATTGTGAAAAGCTCCTAACCATTCATTTTGGTGAACCACCACTTTAGAAACTCTGGGGGACTGAAATACTACCGAATCCCAGGAATGACCCATTTATACAGCAAGATGATTCATTACCGGTATAATGAAGATATATGTATAAAATGAAATGTGGAATTAAACCATTATTTTACACACTATTTACTATAATAATTTAATAAAAACTGAAAACAAAATGTTAATTATTCAGTTAGGTAAGGCAGATAGTAAAACTACCGTTATTTGCGTAAGTGTGCAGAGTTATATGCTGGTTATAATGTCCAAATACAAAAATTTATATTCACAAGTAGCTTTAAATATTGATTAATTTGCCTGACCTATATTTGCATGTCAATAAAGCACTGAATGGCCGTTTTACAATGAATATAAAGAATCGGAATCACTTTTATTGCCAAGTACTGTGAGTATACATGTACAAGGATTTTGTCTCTGTGTACTGTAAAAATACAAGAAATAAATAATAATAATAAGTTAAACATTTTAAAGTAAGAGTAAAAAGAGTTAGTTATGAAGTTGTGGAATGAGCAGAAAAATACTCATTATTCTATAGTCTTTGGCAAAAGTCCAGTGCAGTTTTGTAAGATTTATAAGTGTGTTTTTTTTTAAATAAGAATAATATTGATTTTTCTGGTAAAGGGTAGCAGCTGTTTTTCAGTTTTTCCACATAAATCTTTGTCTTTGTTTGTGACTGTGTCAGCTCAGAGGAGCTGAAGATCAGCTTTATAGAATGCCCAAGAGTTGTCCGCGGCAACAGTAATGACATCCCCATCGGTGTCCATGGAGGATTACCAAGAGGCTGAACAGGTTTGTGTTGCCAAAGAGCTCTTCATACAGCCAATGGAGTACTGTTTTTGTTTTGCGTGAGTGTGTTTAATTGCCCTTTTAAATAAAGTGATAAGCATCTTTATATTGCTGTAAAAAATCAATAAGCGTCTTGTAAACATGCAGGTAAAACATCTCACAATCTGAGATTGATGTCTTGTGAATTCTGGGAAGTCTGATCTCTGCGGCATCAGATGGAGTGATAGAGAGACTCAAGACTAACCCGAGATTTTCCAGCAGTCGTGACATATTTTTAACATTTCCCCTTTTTCAATCAACACTATTGTTGCGCTCCATCACATGCGCTCAATCATGTGGGCCTGTCCCAACTATAAAGTACAAAGAAAAAGAAACCAACAAAACTGTGGGTACTTAGCTTACTGTACTATATATTCTAAATTTAATATACGAATAGATTGTTGCATTATAATTATCCAAGATATCTGTATATCTTGCATGTTGAGTCACTCAGTGTACTGGTATTTCTGTATTTACTCAGTTTTTCTGTTAAATAGTCTGAAACTAATGTGAAAAACCACTCTGTTAAATCTGTGAAAGCTTTCTAAATCTGCCAGAAAAAAAGATAGAGTAGTCTGAGGATTGAGAGAGAAACCCCTTTGTTAAAAAATGAGGTTTTGTTACATGCTTTGAAACCCCATGTCAGCCCTTAGGGTCTGTGACAGAGAGGCTGTGTTTCTCAGAGCGGCCCACACACGGACGTTACCTGCCCGCAGACATGCCAGCTGACATTGCAAACTTCCACATACCTCATACATCTTCATTCCCTGCCCCTGTGTCCCGTGCAGATGCAAGTGGGAGAACAGACGGCGGGACAAGTGGAGGAGAGGTTGGAGGAAGAGGAGGAGAGAGAGGAAGAGGAGAGCAGCTCAGCACCGTCTGAACCACAAAGTCCTATGGAGGTGTACAAGACGGCCATTTACAGGTAACTTCCTTGCTTTTTTTCTCGTGGCATGTTTTTGAGAAAGTGTAGTTGAATATGCATTTGTGGTTCGATGTATAAATGATGTGTTTGTTGACGGTCAGACACCCCTTGTTCCCCCTGCTGGCGCTGCTCTTTGAGAAATGCGAGCAATCCACTCAGAGCTCAGAGTGCGTGACCTCGGCCAGTTTCGATGTGGATATCGAGAACTTTGTGCGAAACCAGGAGAAAGAAGGCAAGGCTTTCTTCAGTGAGGACCCCGATTTGGACAATCTGGTAAAAATCGCCTGTTAAACTTTTTTTTTTGGTGGTTTTTGGTGTTTACACTACTGTTCAAAAGTTTCCAAAAAAATGTTGAAAGTTTATGAAAAAAGTATTTTATGCTTACCAAGGATGCATCTTTTAAATAAAAAATAACACAATTTAAAAGACTTTTTTTCTATTTTAATATACAGTATATATATATATATTAAAATGTATTCCTGTGATGACAAAGCTGAATTTTCAGCATCATTACTCCAGTCTTCAGTGTCTCGTGATCCTTCAGAAATCATTCAGATTTGCTACTCTAGAAACAGTATTATTATTATTATTATTATTATTATCAGTGTTCAAAACTGTTGCT